TAAATGTGTATATATATTATTTATATTAGATTTTTTTTATTATGGTTTATATCTATGATCTGTTCATTAGATTATATGTTGCCTGCATTTTTTTTTTAAATAAATGAATGTCTGACTGTGAATATTGCATTTCTATAATGACATCAGTTACTGAGTGCACCCTTCGATGCATTTTAAAATCACTTTATACCTGCATAGTAGAGATCTAAAATATAGGATAAGTATTCAATTGTCATTTGTTTATTTTAATATGTTGAATTTAAATACATGATTCCATGTTTTATGTCTGACATTCTCCTGAATTTCTTTTGTCGTGTGAGCGAAGTTGCACAAGCGCTGTTATATCCGCTTCGGTTGGGATGCTTGGCTGTGGCTTTATAGTCCAGGGCTCAGAGGATCTTTAATTGACAGATTGAAAGAGTGCCTCACATTCACAAGCTGTTAATGGTTTCCATTCCCCACTGCTGACCAGTGCCAAAAACTGGAAGCCAGCTTTGTGTATTGAAGGATAGCTGAATGTACAGGTTTTTAGGAGGTAATTGTAACTACTCTTGAGAGCTTACAACAAAAAAAAGATTAAAAACATTTTGATGTGTGCAGCTGATTTACATCTCTGGTGAATTATGATGAAAGATATATTAAAGTACACAACACTATAATTTTATGTCACGTCAGGCATGAGTGAAAGTTATGGTGACTTGCTGTTCAGTGAGTCAGGTGATAATTCACTAAAGCGTTCATTAGAATGATTCAAACGGGTCACTTGGGAGTTTTTGAGTCCTTTTGAACAATTGAAATGACAATGAAATAAGTGGCTTATAAGAGTCATGCATTTGTAAATCTGACTTCGCTGGTCATAGTCATTCAAAGGCAGTGGAACACTTGTTGTCTTTTATTTATTTTGAGATTGACCTGGTCCTTTCACTCATCACATTCATTTTTAAATATATTGTATATATAAGTATTATTTGGTCTTCATCCAATAAAATATTTTAGTGACATAAAAGTAAGAAATGTTTTTATTGCTTAATGTCCACATACAGTATTCTTGTACTGACAGACAGGTTGGCACTGTGTTATTTCCAGTGCTTGACTCAGATGCCCTCAATCAGTCTGTCTTGGTGACCTCATTTACCGCTTTGTTCACGGTAACAATGCTTTTTTTATCATTAGAAATCACAGGCCTTCCATTGACACCTTGTCCTTTACACAATAGTAACCATGCCAACTCCCTCCTCACTTGTTACCCGGTTTTAGAGTGCGGCATTGGACGTGTCATTCATAGGGGGATTATGTTAGTATGCCTGAATTAAGCAGCTGGAAAAAGGACATGTTGACAGATCCCACAGCACCTGAGGCAGTGGAGCAGAGTTGAACGGACTACAGAAATGTGGCTTCCGGCAGGTTGCCCAATACCATAGGTATCAGTGTTGCTGCTCTGGCATACATTTTTAATTGTGTGTTCGAGTTCAAACAAGGTAAAACTGCTTGGGGACTGGTTAATTGATTCTGTGGATAAGCCAATGTCAAACATTAACCTGTCAAGCAAAATTATAACCTTATTAACTGGTAATTTAGTAATACAAAAGCTCTTTTGTTGTTCTCTGATGCTTTGTTGGGGAAAAATTGTTCCTAAAAGGCTCATTTCACATCTAGCATTTTCTGCATTTTAAATACTTATAATACATTAATATATTATTTCAGTTACTTCTTAATTATGCCCAATCAGTCTTAAATGATATTAAGATCTGCTTAAATGATATTTACCTTTTAATTTCACATAATTAGCCACAATTTGTGAAGAAAGCAAAGCATTAAACAATGACTACGTTAAAATATATCAGGCTTCTGCAGAATACTTTATAATCACCTTTTAAAATTGAAATGGCCCGGAGTGGCTGCAGTACCACTGATTTCTTGTTTGTTTGTTTTATTTGTGTGTTCAGAGGCAGTCGGAGCCTGAGGCCCCTGCAGTGATGCCTGCATGGATGCAGAGTGTGGATGTTCTGAGTGAAGCTGTAGCTGGATTCAGCACGATGGAGGAAGTAATGAAATACCTTGAGCCGGAACGCTGGCAGGTGGACATGGAGGACCTCTACATGCCTACCTGGCAGGTGGTGGGCAAATCATTCATCCACCAAAAGAAATCCAGAGGTGAAGATCCTGTATTTAAAAATACTTAGTCAATACTGGAACTACATCTTTTTTTTAAACCAGCTGTCTATTTTTGTTTGAATAGGAGTAGTGGACCTGAACCTGCTTCGTGAGGAGGTACGGCTTTACAGTTGCACTCCACGGAACTTTTCCGTCTCATTGCGTGAGGAGCTGAAAAGGACGGACGCCATCTTCTGGCCCAGCTGCCTGCTGGTGAAGCGCTGTGGAGGGAACTGCGCATGCTGCTCTCACAACTGCTATGATTGCCAGTGCTCGCCCACCAAAGTGGCCAAAAAATACCATGAGGTATATAGCAAAGAACAGAAGGCCTTCTGTTATACTCTATATTTCATATATTGGGTTTCTTTCACTAATAACTGTGTGCAAGTGTTCATACATGCATCAGTGTGGCATTATTAATATGTGCCATTTATTAAAGGGGTCATATGATGTGATTTCAAGTTTTCCTTTCTCTTTGGAGTGTTACAAGCTGTTCATGAATAGATAAGATCCCTAAAGTTGCAAAGACTAAAGTCTCAAACCCAAAGAGATATTCTTTATAAAAGTTAAGAGTCAACCACGCCCTCCTAAAATGCCTCGTTTAAACACGCCCCCAACATGTCTGTCACGATGTGGGAAGATTTGCATAACACCGCCCAAATGTTCAAGCAAAGAAAGAAGGCATAACTTTATTGTTGCTGCCACCGCCGCCACCATGTTGTGAAGACGCTGTGTATTTCGTTGCGAAAGCGACTACTTTGTTTGGTCTTCCAAAAGAGGACACGACTAGAAATCAGTGGTTAAGTTGTATTTACAACACTGTTCCAGAACAGTTCAACCCAAATATTCAGATGTGTGCAGCGCATTTTATGGAGGACTGTTTCCTGATCCTGGTAGAGTAGACTACAATGCCAGCTGTTCTGACTCACAGACTGCAAGTACGTTTTCATATTTAAAGGATTTGCCACTGATGATTCAAACGCGAGTTTTTAGCAGTGTAGAGTAGCGCTTGTTGTTTGTTGTTTCTCCGATCACAAATGCAGACATGGTTTTATGTTTATGCGGCGCGATGCAAAGCGTAAAAAGACAGTATAAGTCATTTATAATCCGTAATTATGTCCCCACTGGATGCTACAAATGCCTCGCTTATAATGGGTTTTAATGTTTTTGTCTCGTCGTACCGGGACACGGCATCACAGTATGGTAAGGGGCGTAACATTTCCGTCACACGCTTGAGGTATTCGGCCATTGCACATGACGTCACTGATGACGTGCGAAATGCAGCTGGAGGGCAGGAAGTGATTTTTCTTCGTAGGAATCACTAGCAGAAACTAAAATGCCTGTGTTTTGCGTTGTTTATGGATGCTCAAATTGGCCAAACCGAGAAACCACAAGGAGTTTTTATCGTGTACAAAAATGTGTTGTTCATAAGGGGGGAAAAGTCAAGAAATTGACTGAAAAACGCAGGAAATCACAGTATGGTAAGGGGCGTAACATTTCCGTCACACGCTTGAGGTATTCGGCCAATCACAACGCACTGGATAATGTTCTTTTTAGCAACATCATATGACCCCTTTAATGTTTTAGTATGCTTGTTTTGAGTTGGTTCTAAAATTTATCCTGAGTGCAAATTTAATGTTCAATCATGATTTCATGTGTACACATGGTTAGTGAATGAGACCCATTGGGTGTACATGAAGTGATGATGTGTTTAAGTGCTTAAATCATTTCTGTTTATGTTTCTCTGCCTGTCTCTATATTTGTCTCTTCTTGTGCAGGTTCTGATGCTGAAACACAGGGCAGGGGGTCGGGGGCTGCAAAAGACTCTAACGGATGTCTCCCTGGAGCACCATGAGGAGTGTAGCTGTGTGTGTAAAAATGACTCCGACTAAAGCAGTCCCAGGGAGAGAGCAACACTGGCCCCCAACAGACTCGACCAGGGAAATAGTTCTTGCTTGATGCATAAATGAGCAAAAGAGTTTTTACCCTGACTTTGCAAACTAATGAAACCCAGCGCTGGCTATCTTTTTATTTTGACTTATCTAAGCCTGCGGTTCCATTCGTTTTTGGGCTCTCAAATCCATAGAGAATTGACCCATGCAGAAGTTTCCATTGGCCCTATGATAGCATGGAATGTCAGGAGGAAAATTGGACACGGTCTTGCTTCTCTGTGTGTATGTGGAGGTTTTGTACATTCATGGATCTTTTTCTGTGTGTGAGTGAATGTATAGAGCTGTTCAGGAACTTAGGTATTCCAGGATAACTACAGAGCCTGAAGTGAGTTTGCTATTACTTGTGGAACAAGTGGATTTGACGTGTTCTTTTATATAATTTTTCTCTTTGCTTTTTTTTCACAACTTAAAAATATCTAAGGACCTTGACTATGCATCAGCTTTCAGCAATCCAAGGACAATTTTGAGGTGGCATGGACTTTCTCCTCAATAACATCCCAAAGAAATTAATTACACTGTGTCATAAACCAGCAATCAGTCACCTACTCATTACTGAATCAGCACTCATCACTGAAATCAGACATTTTTTATGAATAATTCAGAAAGAATATTTTAGGAAAGATAAGGATGTCCCTCTTTTTTTTTTTTAAACCAGAGCTGAGTGATCATGCATCTTCTGCTCTTTTGCTGTGTACTATAGACTCTTATGAGAATGGCTCAAGAGAGAACACTAAAATACAATAGTGAATCTTGTGTAAATATATTTCAAATTGTGATTTGTTGACTTTTCCTTTGTCATGACAGTTTTTGGTACCAAATTGTGGGCTTGTAAGAATCGTTTTTCCCCTTTCATAATCACTGTAGTATTTTCAGTATTAGTCCCTCTTTTTTTAGAGACATTTATACTTTTGTGTTGTTTGAATAGTTGTTTTAATTGCGTAATAAGATTGTTATTTTGACTGGAGACAAAATGAAAACTGTTAGATGTTCATGTAAATAGACATTTTAGAAGTTAAAGGGACATAGAACTGCCAGTACCATATTCCTCTACCATTAAACGATTAACTAAATTGTTGTGGTTTTTCCAAATGGCGCTTAAAGCATTGGTTTGCTCAGGTAATCTGCAGTTGTCACAAAATTGCAAAGTATTGCCAGGGAACCCTATAACCATGAACTATTTACTGCGATCTCACTTCAGTCTTTGAGAGCGTAATTAGATGTTAATGATGTATCTCTGCATTAAGACAGGCATCTTTCTCATAAACTTTTCAAGAGTAAAATCATGTGACTGCCAGTGTTACTCTCAGCATTCCTTGAATAATGGACACATTTAATTTCCTTTTCACTTGTTTTAGGCAAAAGAGTTTATCTTGTCTGCATGCAGTAGATGACATGCGAACATTAAAACTATAACAAAACATGACATTGGTGGAAAATGAAGACAATGTGATTTGCTCAAATTCAGTTTTGATTGACTGGAAAAGGGAGCCTAGTAAACAAGACATGCAGCATTATTTGCATCTTTTTTTAATCCGCCTTAGATGACCTTTTCCGCTGTCATTTTGTCAGGCTATTATTCTTTGATGTAATATTTTTGTGTCTTGTTTTTCATGCTTTGATCACAGATTCCTCACACTTAGCAAACCAATTTAACAAGCCACCTACTTTAAACAGGCTTTGATATCGTCTTTAAAAGACGAAAGGTTCATTTTTGTGCAACTTGACAGAGGGAATGAGAATTTGGATTTTGTTGATGTGTCATGTGAAAGTGAGAGAAGTGCCTTGATGTTGTTAAACAGCTCACAGAAATGTAAAGCACGAAGTTTCTCTTTATGAGTCTCATTTATGGTTCAGAGAGAAATTTGAAAATGTGTGCGTCATTTCGGATCGTCATCAGATTCCTATGTAACAGAATCTTAAAGGTGATGCATGCATTTTTTTCTGGGTTAACATACTTCTATTCTTAATTTGGAGAGAAAGCCTTCATAAGTTGATCTGTCTCTGTTATGCCATCAAAACTCTTATTCACGGTATGAAATGAGTTTTGGGCAGGGCTTTCTGATTGTTTGACCAATGGCAGATGGGAAAGTGTTTCAAGAACATTGAAAACAACCAGTTCGGTTATGCTAATGGTGCAGCAATCATACACTTAATGTTAATACGCTGTCTAAGGTCATTTTATGATCATCAAGTATAGAGTGTAAGTAGTTCAGCATAATAACATGAAGACTCTTAATATGCATTAGCACGTGTCCGTTTGCATTCTAAAGAGACTAGGGCATTTCACTGTCACCGTTAATAGTAAAAAATTATGGATCCAAATTTATGAGATTGTCTGGGAACAAAGCATTTATGTATTTAACCAGATGTGCGTATATTAGCGTTGGACTATGGGCTTGGTCTTATTTAGATAATTACAGGGTAGTTGCTCTGTGGTTTTCCAGGAACTGGCTGTGGTTCCTGAGGAAAGTAATGACCTGACATCTGAGTGGCATTAATCAGTGATGAGGACAGTTCACTTTTCCACTGCTTGTGTCATTATGTGATGCAGTCACGTTTTGGATAAACAAAAATCTTAAACTATACTGTTCAAATCCTTCAGAAATCATTCTAATATGCTAATTTGGTGCTCAAGAAACATTTATCAATGTTGAAAACGGTGCTGCTTAATATTTTTGTTCAAGTTTTTTTTTTGGTATAAAAATAAAAAACAGTATTTATTTGAAAAAATTAGTTTGTAACATTATTCGTCTTTACTGTCACGTTTGATCAATTTCATGCATCTTTTCTGAATATACATTTTTTTTTTATGAAAAAAATCTTACTGACCCCGAACCTTTTTTTTTTTTTTTTACATCTTGACTAAAAAAAGGTAACTATATTATTTATATTACATAAATTTCAATGGTCTTACTAAGAAAAAGGCATAAATGGCACAGTCTTCTATAATGCCTGATCTTGTCTGTTGTATACACATCTGGGAAGCTGTTCACTCAATTCCAGATTTATGCAAACATTCAAGTAACAGCATGCCCACTGAAAAACATTTGTTCCACAAGTCCATGCTGTAACTGCAATAAAAGTATCAGCTAAATGTGGTTTGATTCCCTTTAGCCCTGAATATGCATAACTCTTAAAGGCAGAGACTGTAATCTCTTTCTAGAACATCCAGTACTTGTACCACACAAAACGGTCATATTGTCTCACATTGGGGGTGTGTGTGTGTGTGTGTGCATGCATGCGTGCGTGCGTGTGTGTGTTAGGGTTGATGATAAGCTTATTCCAAAGAGGCAGGGAAAAGGCCATTTATCTTGGAAAACCTTAATCTGCCATGTCCAATTAGAACAGATAGAGGGCAAAGTGTAGACTGTACTGTATTTTCTTCTAGACTTTGAATAATGCATGTACTTCATAGGCACATATATGCATTCAGGGTCCTGAAAGGTTAATACGACTGATGCCGTTTTCATAATCTAACTAAGCTAATATAAGTGAGCCATGACATTCTAAAGTGTTGCCGTAGACAAGATGGCAGAGAGGTCAAGGTCACACACTATAATCCACCATGCATCGCACATGCTTGAAAATCACATTTTCCTCAGGTGGTGGATAAGGGATTGTTTAAATCTCCAGAAGCTGATGTGACGCAACAAATTCAAATTTGTAAGTGTAGTTCCAGTCCTGTTATATTAATTATCATTTAACTAGATTTGTAGTTCCAGCTGCTTAAAAAAAATGTTGAAATTAAATCAATAAAGCAGTTTTTTTAGAAATACCTTGGTGTTAAAATATTCTATAATCTTAGGTTTGGTAGATATCAAATGTCTCTTCAGAGCCACGTTGTCATTATAATGACGCTCAGCACATCTTGTTTTGTTTTGGCTGTTAATAAGACATTGCTTTTCCAGTTTAATTGTCGTTACATGGTTAAATAGATACTAGAAAAATATATATCAATCGTTCTTTAGTATACAAATAACACCATCGTTCAAAAATTTGGGGTAAGAAATTCATGCTTTTATTCAGCAAGGATGCATTAAATTGATCAAAATTGACAGTAAACACATTTATAATGTTATAAAAGATTTCCATTTCAAATAAATGTTCATTTGAACTGATAATAAATGTTTCTTGAGCAGCAAAGCAGCATATTAGAGTGATTTATGAATGTTCATGTGACACTTAAGACTGGAGTAATGTAATGGCTGCTGAAAATTCAACACTGCCGTCTATACATTGCATATTAAAATGTTACAATAGAAAACGGTTGTTTTAAATTGTTATATTTCAATAATCAATCACAATTTCATATGTAAATATTATAATGACACCATCAGTACCTGCTACATTTTCAATGGCAGATCATTCTGTCATTATTCGCAGGCTGAAATAATCTACATGGAAACTAAATGGAACTTTACATGTATTTTAAAACTGTTTTGGGCTGGATTACAGTAATAGCACAAGCTCAATGTTTAATGCTTAAGAGTTCTGAACAAAGCCCTAATCAGAATGTTTGAGGAATATCAATGTCATTCAAGCACCGTAAAGATCCCAGAGCAATTGTTAAAAGCTGTAGATCAATCAAGTGAGCTTGGGGTGATTATAGCCTGGGGTTTATGGATCTGGGATGTTAATTAGAAGGTCTTAAGTCTGATGAAAAACAAAAAAGAGCTTTGCTTCAGAATCTAGGCATATAGTGATCAATAAAACCAGGAAAAAACCTAATTTGCTATTGCTTTAACTTAACAGAACTGTTCAGTGTTTTCCATGAGAGTTACATACTACAACATAGTCACAGTGGTACTATGAAAGTCTTAATTGCTGTTGCCACTACTGTGACTTACATCAATATGCATATGATACATTCAAATTTAATTAATCTACCATATGTGATGCAACTTAATGCCAAAAAAGCATCATTTATAGGTGTTCAGTGCATGTTTGCTTTCTTCATATGTGACCGTGCTGTTTCTGCACAGAGTTTCAGCATTGCTTTGCAATGTGCTGATGCAGGTTCAATCTCATGCACACATTCTCATAATAAACACCGAACTGTGTAGTCTGTGAAGGGCTGAGCAGGACCCACAGGGAATATCAACAGCCAAGTTGTGAACATTCAGCACATAATGTCCTTCAATTGAGGGGGTCATTCTCAGGAAAAACACTGCCACTTGTGCCCTATTTGTACCCCCTGACTTAATACTGCTCCATATGTTTTGAAAAATAAATAAATAAATGAATTTATATAGTTAAATATGTTTTCACTATGAAATGTTCTTATTGTATGCTGCGAAATTCTCTCTTGAACAGTGGTTTGTCAGAACAGTGATGATGTGACATCAAGTCTTTTCAATCGCATTGTTCAAAAGTATATATCAGTCCTTCTTCATGGTTACACTTATATTGGCCCATCAAATAAAAATTTGTAACTCTGTTTTTACAGTTTTGTGCAGATTTTTTTTTTCTTAGCACAAAATACAAAAATGGTTACTGAATAATGTGGTATGATGTGCATGTAACATTCTACCCAGAAATATTTTGAGTTGGGGGTATGTTAATGAAAAGGTTATTCATTATTCATTTATTACAAGGCATACCTAAAAGTGATGATACTGGAATTTACTCTATCCCCAGTCAAATTATAAGCAGTCATTTTTCGAATTTAATTATTCTGAATTATTCATGCACAAATTATTCTTAATATGCACAAGTGTTTTGCCAAAAATTCTTATTTATCTTTAAAAATATCATAGCGCTCTGCTTATCAGTAGAAACACCGCCCCTCTTATGTCTGGCAAGGTAATGCATTGAAAAACACTGGATGTGAAGGTGCCTGGTGCCTGATCTCACACATTCACACATTCTCTTCTCCATATGGCCCTCAGGCTCAGAGAGGTCAGCCTCACTCAATCCCCAAGATTCATGGGTAATCAGTCTAGAGGAAGTCCTGTTGAGCTGAGCCTACTGGACGCTTACAACCCTCTGACACTGACAGATGCTGTTTCACACTTACTCACAATATTCATAGTGCTGACCGGAAAGTACATACGCTGCTTACCCTGCTGCTCTTTAATAAAAGTAACTTTCAGAAATAAAGCGAAGGACTTTAAAAGTTGAAGGAATTTTAAAGTTAGGGAACTTGGTAAATCTCGAAGAGTTTTGTCTTGAGGCTTGATTTAAATTTGAAGTCAGTAATCCTGACAGTTATTGAGACTCCGCAAACCCCTACAGCTAAATATGCTTTCCTTAACTTTCCTATTCATTCTTTACCTGTGATATATATCCTGTTTGATCTATGCCCCCAGTCTAATATTTTCTATGAGTATTCATGGTCTAAAATCTACACATAAACAAATGTTATGCTTTTTTTATCTAACACTCTGAATAAGTAGCCTTCAAATAATATCACAAAAACACACACATAAATGAAAAGAGACCCTATGTGAACGTGTTAGACTAAGATGAATGAGATCTAATCATATGTATTATTCTTTCCAAAGAGGAACCTCCACTCAACCACAACTTGCTCAATGGTATTTTCACTC